TGTACCAATGGCAAAATATTGCGCTCATTCGCTTAGAAGTCCCTCATTTTTTTACTCTAAGTGGTTCACTATGGTGGGGAAACTTCTACTGCTCAAATAGAGTGAAAGGAACTTATTTCCAACTTTTGTTCTGAGACGTTTTTAGTACAAAATCCATGATATCTTCACAATATTGTCCTACAGTAATTGTTAGAGTTACAGCAGTGGTTTTTCCCGTCTTCCGACTGAGTTTGCAACCTGTTCATGAATTACATCATCAAACTATAATAAGCCTTCCTACTACTATTTGTACAAAAAGGTTACTTAGACACCATAACAATCAGAACAACCGGTATGATGAGTACATCGAGATCTAAATGTGAGAAATAGTCACTGTCAATTGCACGCGGATAGAAGTACTCGGGCATTCGGCCCCTATAGCGCAAAAGTCGATTGATGTAGTGAGCTCCTTGAAACAATGGATGAACAATCTTGTCATTGAGTAGTTTTGTTACGTGTGCTGCTTTGATGGTAAAACTGCAAGAAAAACTCTTTTTTGTTATCTTAAAATATTCTTGGTGTTCTGGCTCCTAGAAATTTTATAATCACCTCTTGTTATCGAGAACGCGCTTCATTGTTCGTTGGAGATTCTCTGAAGTGAGCGTATGTTTGTTAAAAACTTCTGCGTACCCCTGCATAAAATCAAGATAAAGTTTACGCCTTCGCAAACAAAACATGTACCTTATTTTTTGCCAGCCATCCGTTTCTGACTTGCTCAGCAAATACGGGCATGAATATTGCCGGTGTAGAGGAGCATGTAGCTTCTTTTACACTAAAATTCATGCAAATATCATCCTGATGATAGAAACTTTTGGGGAGCTGTTTGTGTTGAACTGCAGGTTGTTTTAATTTGCGGATGTCTCTTTGCTCTTTGATACTTTCAAATGCCAAGAAAACATTTTGAATTAGCGACGAAATCACTACCTTTTTAAACCACCGTGGCTGAAAAATAGCACCGTCCGATTGTCGTACAGAACATCTACTTGAGGTACCCACTTCGAAGTGTATATGTGTGATTTTGCCTGTATAGGTTCACCATCATAGGCCCATACAATACGGTAATCCGTTAAAGAATTTAGCGTGGTAAGAATAGCCTTGAATTTCTCCTTGGGAACTCTAC